ATCACAGTGAGTCACCTGACTTAGGCAGACTTTGAGGAAGAACTAAGCTTTCTCAGTTAAGCCACTGAGATCTGGGGCTTGTTAGTCACGGCAGCATAAGCTCAGCCTGCTCTAATACACCCCATCTCGATCCTATCTACAGCTGCTATTAACATGTTAGCATTCTCTGCTGCTATGATGGTCAGAGAAAGTACAAAAACTCCTCTTTGGTGCTTTCGGGACAATAAAGCAGGAGAAGGTAATAGGGATTTGCCATAATTTTAAATCAAGGGGCAAGGAAGGACTCACTTAAAAGATAACATTTGATTAATAACTCAAAACCATGCAGAGAAATCTGCAGGAAATGCATTCTCAGCCAAAGGGAATTGTCAAGTGTCTGACATTTGAGAAGCAGCAAAGACACCAGTGTAGCTGGAATACAGTGATTGGGGGAAGACAGTAATGAGAAATGAAGAGAGATGAGGAGAAGAGGTGCATCATGGAGGGCCTTGTGGGCTATTATAAGGACTTTGAAGGCACTTGCTCTGAGGGAAAGCAGGAACCACTGGGAAGTGTGTAGTGACATAGTTTAATTTATATTTTTAAAGGATTGTTTTCTAAAAGCTTATTTATGATTAACTAAATAACTAAACAGTTATTTATGATGGATGATGTTGTTGCAATATAATCCTGACTTCAGGATGTGTGGTTTTGATCCATGACTAATTCTCACCAAACCAGTGCTGGTGGTTTTAACTCACACTGCAAATTATATTGATAACAGTCAGACTCCTAGCAAGGTTCCCAGTGATACCCTAGGCTGCAGTGCCCTTATTTGAAACACTTGCCGTAAAGCTATCAAAGAAATCCTTGCAGGAGTCTTTATTCTCCCGAGCCTCCACTGTAAATCATCAAAAATAGTTGCATATAATTTCATAGCAAATGAAACCAGCACTTGGAATGTCCTAGGTAACGACAGAAAGAATACATTAATCTTACAAACTCTTTGCTTTGTCATTTCCTTCTGGACACTCAAAAGACACCTTTTGCCTCAGTGTCTCCCATCTACATCAGCCGAGTCCAGAATTTATGTCCATTGTATTCCTGTTCTCAGCTCAGAAAACACTCATTACCCCAGTAGCTCAAGTCAGAAACCCCAGAGGTTGGTAACCATTTCCAGGTTCTTGATCCTACACAAATCCACCCTTTCCCTCTCTCCTCAAATCCAACCTGCCTTCCCTGTCATATGAATTGCGGGAACATCCCCTAATGGATCTCACTGCACACAGCTCCAGGAAGTATCTTTCGTTTAAACACAAATCTGGTCATGTCACTCCCCTCTCTGCAAGGGAGGAGCTGACCTCTTTGGACTTAAAGATCCTTTACCATCAAGTTCCTGCCTGCATTTGTAGCCACAGCTCTCATCACGGCTAGATTGCAATTTTTGCAACAGACACACAACACTGCTTGTTTTCCAAACATCCAAAGCTACTTCACACATCTGTGACTTTGCACATCACATGCCCTCTGCTGGAACATTTTTTTCGCCTTGTCTAACTGGCAAATTTCTACTGCTTTCAGCCTCTGCTTATATGTCATGGCATCTGTGAAGGCTTCCCTGACCCCGTCTCCAGGCCCCCTCAGTTGTAACTTTATTTCAGTGGTGAACTGGAGCTTACACCTGTCACCCCCACCACACAACCCTTTGTATGCCAAGCCCCTCAGATAGATAGAGGAATAGAAGATATATGGTAGGTGCTCAGTCCCTGTTGAATGAATTAATAACTCTCCCATTCTGGCTCTATTGCCTGGCATTAACATAAGTGAGAGGATGTCATGTCTGTATTTGATACCCATCCTGTGATGCTCAGTGGGTAGAAAATGGCATTGTGTCATCATTTCCTTCTGGAGGGAAAATGTAATTTTTTTCAGCAGTTTGTTGGGTGAGTTGAAAATAAACAGTACTTTAATTTTGAACTTGTTCTTACTCAGGTTTGGGGGTATTTTGGGGCTTTTGATTGCACAAGATTGACTTATTTTTGTAATTCTTCTTTGGCTTACAGCCCGTGTTATTGAATGATTACCATTCTTCTTAGGGCTAACCTCATTTTCTTTTGCAGTGGATGCTTTGGCTATGAAAGGGAAACCTGTTAAGAAAAGTCAGCCTCTGGTTTCTTGGTTCATGTGGGGATTCTGAATTCTGAAATTTGTGTAAAAATAGATTTGATTTAAGAGAGCAGCTATTCTAAAATTAATAATCAAATGATGGGAAAAGTAAAGATGCCTGATTTTTTTAAGGGATTACACTTCAATGATACTATATTGTTTAGTATTTATATTTGGTTCTTTTTTTCCCCCTTATTACAGGACAGCATATGTTCTATTGGGACATTGTGGGTTTTGCCTCATTAACTTGAAAGCCCTCTCTAGTCAGCATAAGGCATGTTTGGATGAATACTGCAATAATCTGCTGTTATAACTGGTGGCTGACTCATCTGTTTTTACAGGATTGGTACTGTAAAGAACTGAGTCATACGTCTTGTGTCAAAATTGAGTGTGAATTTTAAAGTCGAAAGTAAAATGAACCCTTGAGCATACTCAAGTGAAAATCACAGCAACCTGTGGGCTGAGGGGTTTTTGTAGCAACTATTTGATTTTTTTCCCCCAGTCGTATTCTTATAGTCTTCGTATATTCATGCAGCAAGTGGAAAAATCCAAGCTCAGAGCTCACCAGCACTGTTATGAAAAGGATAATATTAGAAATGATTCTAGTTTCTCTGTGATTAGCTATAAACCTCGATCCTTTGCCCATTATGGGCCTCATTTGCCTGTAGAGTTATCAGTGGTCAAGTGTTCAGATGAGGGGCCAGAAGCATTTTGCAAGTGAGCACCCACCTAGATGGGGTAAGGAGCCTACAAAGATTCATGCACCTTTTGCTCCTGTTTCTTTTCCCTAGAATGGGAGGATTCCCAATACAGGTACCTGGGTCAGATATCCGAGATAAGATTCAGAGCACAGAACACACTGATAATAGAAACGCATGAAGAGGTGCTTCAGACCAAAAGCACCAAGTTCATTCTGCTGTTGCATCATGATTTAACTCTGAAACTAGGACCAGAAAATCTTCTTTGGGGAAGTCGAATTTGAAAATGTAGCTGCCCCTACAGTTCACCTTCAGGTCTTTTTAAAACTGATTTTCTCTGTCTCCTTATTTAGCGTTGACCCAGGATGCTTTGGAAAATACAATGCAATGACGGTTGAGAATAATATTTATAGAGTTTGTGAATCCAAAAGTGCAGTGAAACATCATTAACACAACAGTGGAGGGAAAGCCCCCTAAATGTCAGAAGAATGTCGCAGTTCATAAATTGTTCATGTCTGGAGAATACTTAACATAGTGCAGATTAATTAGATTAATGGCGTGTTGTTGATATAGGGTGACTGTCGGTTAGAGGCAAGGTGACATTGACTGTGAGAAGTAAAGACAATGGATTAGGAGTCAAGTCTAGTTAGGGTAGAGCATGAGGGCTTTGAATTTCTCATACGCCCTTTCTCTAGATTAGGAAGGGAATCTGAAGCCTCATATCATTAGCAGAAGAGTGATTGCCAGTGGGGAGTGGGGGGGCGTATTGATGGTGAATGGTCACAAGCAAACAAAACAGAGATGGGATAGAACTGTGCAGGACCTTGATTTTGTATTTCTCCCAAGAATGACTAGTTCCTAATGCAGTATTACCTCCATTTCTTCTCTCACATCTACAAAAAGCATTAAAAACCTTTTTGTTTGTTTTTTGTTCATCTTAACCTAGTTTCTTCAGAATGTACTTGGTATGGTGCTAAGTAAACAATAACTTCCTTTTATTTTCTTGAACAGCAGTTCACAATTAACTATGTGGCTCTGTGATTGCCCTCAAACTCAGTCTCAGAACTTTATGATCATTTTGGCTTTAATAGAACTTTATAGGAATGATGATGGTAACAGCTCCTGTTTATTAAGCACTTATAATACAAACTCTGGTTATATACCTACTTTTTCACCCTCATAACAACCTTAGGAGTTAAGTACAATAAATACATGCATTTTTCCTGCAAAAAAGATGAAATTTAGTGAAGTTGAAAAGCCAATGCATGGTCACATCATGAAATGTAGCAGAGATTTAGTTCTGTCTGTTATCAAAGCACAACAACCTAAAGCTCTCTGGAATGTACCACCTCCCAGCAGCTTCCAAATTCTCATGGAGAAGCACATCTTAATTGCAACTCATGCTTGTATTGCTTTTTAAATGCTTGGGGATAAAGATTTTTGGAGGAAATATTAATTCTAAATAATTTACCATACCTTGGTGACCATGAGGCATAGATCATTCATATTTGTTTATGAAAAACAAAGTGTAATTAATAGCATCAAAACTATAAATGTTGGGGCGCCTGGGTGGCTCAGTCGGTTAAGCATCTGCTTTTGGCTCAGGTCATGATCTCAGGGTCCTGGGATAGAGCCCTATGTCAGGCTCAATGCTCAGGGGGGTGCCTGTTTCTCCCTCTCCCTCTGCCCACCCCCCTCCCCCGCTCATGTGCTCTTTCTTTCTATCTCAAATAAATAAATAATCTTTAAAAAAAAATTGATGTTTAGCAAAGAAGGGCCATTTTTTCTTTTTAATTTCATCCCTGATCTGTGTTTTAATTCATATTAAATTTCCAGTTTACAGAAGTTTTTTCCTTTGAGTGTAAACATTTTAAAAATATTTTATCTTTCAAAAATGCAAAATATGACTCAAATACATCTTAACTTTTTAAACAGGGCACACCTTCTACCATATATTAATTTGTTCTTGATGCTCAGATACCGTTAAGATGTGCTGGACTCTAAGACCTTATTAAGAATGCCCCAAGGGTGCCTGAGTGGCTCAGTTGGTTGGGCTTCCGACTCTTGATTTCAGCTCAGGTCATGATCTCGGAGGTCATGAGATGGAGCCCCACGTCGTGCTCCATGGTCAGCAGGGAGTTTGCTTGAGATTCTCTCCCTCTTCCTCGGCTTCTCCCCCACTGTCTCTCTCACTCTCTAAAAAAAAAATGAAAAATAAAATCTTAAAAAAAAAAATGCCCCAAGTTGATATAGGGGTCTTTGGGATTTTTTTATTATTATGATTTATCTGTATTATTTTATTATGTTCCAAGATTATTATAATACCATCATTCTTTAACACCTATCACTTCATATAGTTACCAAAAGATTTTTTCCTTGTAATGAGAACTTTTAGGACCTACCCTGTTACCAACTTTCAAAAACACCATACAGCATTAATTATAGTTATTTCCTTTGTGTATATACTCAGAAGTGGAATTGCTGGATCATATGATAGTTCTACTTTTAGTTTTTTGAGGATCTTCCATACTGTTTTCCATAGTGGCTGCACCAATTTACATTCCCACCAGCAGTGCATGAGGGTTCCTTTCACTCCACATCCATGCCAGCATTTCTCTGTTGTCATGTTGATGATGACGATTCTAACAGGCATAAAGTGATATCTCACCCTGGTTTTGATTTGCATCTCCTTGATGATCAATGATGTTGAGCACCTTTTCGTGTACGTGTTGGCCATCTGAATATCCTCTTTGGAAAAATGTCTATTCAGGCCCTTTGCCCATTTTTAATTGGGTTATTAGCTTTTTTGCTCTTAAGCTGTATGAATTCTTTATGTATTTTGGATATTAACCTCTTATCAGATACATGATTTGCAAATATTTTCTCCCATTCTGTAGGCTTCCATTTCATTTTGCTGATTTTACCATACGGAGTTCTCGTAGCTGTGTTTTATCCCCTTTGTCATTGATTTTTTTTCACAGTTGACCTTATGTCATTTTATTGAATTTGCTGCTTCAAAATTCCTTTGGGCTAGAGAATGTTAATAGACAAATAATAGAGCTAAAAACACAGCTAAAAATAGAGACTTTTAGAATAGTTTTAAAAATTAGAATAAATAAGTGATGTGGGGGGAACTGAAAGTTTCTTCCATTTTTTTAAAAAAGTGCACATTTCAGGGTTTCTTTTTGCCTCACCTTCTTTTTGCATGGATTTGTAAAATTTAGATTTTTCCAGAGGTATATATTTTTTTCCTCCTTTGTATCCTATGCTTTAGTTGTAAAAATTACCTGAAATAAGTAATATCCAGACAAGTGCTTTATTGTGACTTTTAAAAAATGCTACATTCTCAGGGGCAAGCTGATGATTTCTGTCAGCTCCTTATTAGATGTCTTAAATCTCCAAGAGGCCGTGGCACTGATGTTCTTCAACAGTGGTCTCCAGGCAACGGGATTCCCATCATTACTACAGAGGACACAAAAGTGAACAGAAATGAGATGAGATGGTTAGTTTGAAGAAAGGAAGAATTCAAAAGGAAATTTAGATGTATTTGAGATATATATATCAGAATGTTCTAGTGTCTTAGAGAGAGAAGTTAAAAGGAAAAATTTCAATCTAGAATTTCTTAAATTAGACTATGAAATTTTTATTTATTTAGGACTTGTCTAATAACATTTAGATTTTTATCAATAAAATGTAATGCAAAATACTCTGAAAATATAATTTTGAATCAATCTGATCAAATGCTCAAGTGACTTTCTTCTTTTTCTTTTTTTTTTTAAACTAAAATAAGCAGTTTTGGAAGGCAGGACTTAAATATTTGAATGTATGTCCCACCACACAGGAGCAGAAACCAAATTATCTCACCAGAATCCTAAATAAATGAGGTCCCTTAATATTCTCTCCATTATTATAGTATTTCCAAGTTTTTTAATGGTAATAAAATTACCTTACTGAAATTAGAATCTACCTACTCCTACTTTTATTTTCCTTATCCACTTACCTCCAGAATCAAGTATAAAATAGGTACTTTTAACTACAGTGAATACACTCAGACCATATTCATGAGGAAAAGTATAAACATTTGGGGAAAAAACTAGCACATGTGAATAAAGAATAAAAAGAAAAAATTGTCATAAAAAATATGAATCTACAAGAGCACAGCATGACCGGTTCCACATGGTATTAAAGATTAGAGAATTTAAATTAAATGTCTTAGCTTTAACATTAGCTACAGCTCACTGGTGTATTACAACATAAAGACAAACAATATGGAAAAGAAAATAAACTTGGAGTTAAATATATTATGAATGGACTTAGGACACCTCTTTTATATATACAAGGAATCAGAGCCCTCTCAAAGAAAAGACAGGACTGCAGTATCTAATCCTTATAGGTACAAAGACCAAGAGAAATTTTAAGGGCCAAAATAATTTAACCATTTGCTATTTGCCGGAGGGTTTACAGCCTGGAATAATTAGTGTACAGGAAGGAAACAGTGACTTTAACTTTCTTTTAAAATACTCAAATTCATAAATAACATACTTCTCTCTCATTGCTCCTGTCAAACTTGCTATGCGTTTTCATCTGCTCCCTGATTATCCTCCAAAGCAAGCAATTTTCGTATCTCCATTTCATCTCTTTTTGCAAGACTAATAACATAAAAAGCAGTTATCAAATTTATACACAGCAAATGAATTCTGCCCATGCTGCATTTTGAATCCGGGGGAAAGTATCTTTGATCTCTTTGCCGTGGTTTTATTTCGAACATCTCTGTCTTTGGTCCCTTGCCTTCCTGTATAGACTATTCTAAAATTTCAAGGCATACGTTATATTCTGGGTATATAAACCAGTGCTTTATTTTAAAATTTTAGCTGGGTGGCTCAATCAGTTAAGCAGCTGCCTTTGACTCAGGTCATGATCCCAGAGTCCTGGGATCGCATCCTGCATCGGACTCCCTGCTCAACAGGGAGCCTGATTCTCCCTCTCCCACTCCCCCTGCTTGTGTTCCCTCTCTTGCTATCTCTCTCTCTGTCAAATAAATAAATAAAATCTTTTAATAAATAAATAAATAAAAATTTAGCTGGATTTTTTAAGATGCAAAGACTATTTCACTCTTAATGTGTTTATGGTCTTGGATTTTGCTATTGCTTTTATTTTTCTCCTTAAATATTATTGCATATTCCTTTCTACCGTAATGCACTGAGGTACTAGGGCAAGCAAGCCAAGATCCTTTGCTGTATGATTTTTCCACATTTGTTAAAATATACTTATCCATTGCTACTTTTCAATAATACTCATCAACTATCATGGTGTGCTCTTCATCTTCAGTACATTTTGCAGTCCATCATTAATTCTTCCAATACTTCAGAGAGGTAGATAAGTGGGCATTACTGGTCAGATTTTCATTTGGTCTAACTGTGGGAATCCGTCCATCAAAAGAACAAAATGAAATTGAGACCCATTACTGCCACTCTACAGAAGAAGGAAATGAGACCAAAAGAGTAAGTGGGGAATCAAGAGGAAAAAGAGTCCGTGTGAATGTAGTGGAAAAGCTTTTTCATTCCACCTCTCAGTCCCGGGTCTTTCATATTTACCTGGTGACAGACCTTTCTCTTGGCCAGGGAAAACAAATGGAACCTGTATGCGATGCATTCTGTACAGAAATTTCTCTAAGAATTTTAAGATGTGACAAAATGAAAGAAAAACGCTGTTTAATAACCACACCATGATTAGTGTAGCCTAAATTTAGCACTAGGGAACAGGGGAAGCATCTATGCAGAATGGTCCTTTGCCACCTTATTGATTATATTCTGAGGAAATTACCAGGATTTCTCAGAGGAAATGTCTGCCCTTTTCTTTGAACATCTAAACAGTACATTGAACGAGCATGATGTTTCGTAGATAAGCAGAATTCAACTCTATCCCACTACCTTTTTACAGGAAGCTTTTCCCCTGCAATGGCTGAAAATTTGGCAGATCTCTGACTTTCCTGTTCACTCTTAGTCCTTAAGTCCTCTAAGTCCAAAGCACTCTCCTTTGGAAATTGTAAATGTCTAATCTAAGATGTGAACATTTCAGACTTCAGGCCGGGCTTCTCCCCATCTTCTAGCTGCAGGCAGTATTTGGTAGGTTGACTGTGTTCAGGGGGAGAAACGTAGCCAATTGATCTCTTCTCCCACTTATTTCCTGCCCAGTGGGTCCCCTCCTCCCAGCGCATGCCCCACCGGTGTGAAAGCTCAGGAGGGCAGAGTGAAGAGAAGGGCACAGGAAAGTTCTGTCACTTCCTGATTCTTCACTGGCTTCTACACCTGTGTTGGGCCCCTCTGACAGCAGTCTCCAGGAGTTAGAGCTTCTCCCCTGCTGGTTTGGTGGACTTGCTGGTATCTCATTCAGGTGGCCACTGTCCCTTTCCCTTTGCACCACCTCTTGGCCTTCCGTCATCCATTCCACACACAGACTTAGCAGCCTCCCCTATTACAACCCTGTTGCCCCCATGTGGTCTTCTTAGGACCTAGAACAGCTCCCAGCTGACTCTACCCCACACGGCCCACATCCGGTCCACAGATAGTCAATTCCATAACTATTGTGGACTGAATGTTTGTGCCCTGCCCCCAACCCACACCTCCTAATCTCCAATGTAAGGATATTAGGAGGTGGGGCCTTTGGGAGGTGATTAGGTTTAGAAGAGGTCATGAGGGTGAAGCACCCATGATGGAATTAGTGTCGTGCTAAGAAGAGGAAGAGACACTGGAGCTTTCTTTCCCTGCCATGTGAGGATACAGTAAGAAGACAGGAACAAGATAGAAGGAGAACCCTCACCAAAAACCAAATCTGCCAGCACCTTGATCTTTGACTTCCCAGTGTCCAGAATGGTCTGTTGAGAAATAAATGTCTGTGGTTTAAGTCACCCAGTCTATGGTATTTGTTATAGCAGCCTGAGCTGACTAAGACAGGGCTCTGTATTTGCCTGAGGTGCGAATTCCCTATCCCCAGCCCTTTCCCCCTTCCTCCCTGCACTGCCATAGACCCCTCCTCTGCCAAGAAAATATTGCATTCATTCCTTTTTCCTCCCTTCCCAGTTATGTCTTCCCATTCTTCAAGACCATGATTCTTCTCCTTCCACCAGTCTGATCCACTCACTGATACTTTGGCATTCCATGTACATTCAGACCCAGCAGCTTTTCACGAATATAACTTCTTGCTTGGCTGTCCAACCTCATTTGTGGCCTCTCACTCATGAATGCCCTTGGATCCTGCTCTCGTGGCCTTTTGCAGTGTCTCAGATGCACTGTGTTCTTTCCCTCCTAGTGTGTCTTTCTCTTGCCTTGTGTATTAGTTACTTGTGGATGCTATAACAAATTACCAAACTGTTGCTTAAAACAACAGAAATTTATTTTCATATTTCTGGGGGCAGAAGTCCAAAATCAAGGTGCCAACAGGGCCATGCTTCCTCTGGAGGCTGTAAAAAAGAATCTTTCCTTAGCTCTTCCAGTTTCTTGTGGCTGTTGACATTCCTTGGGTTCATGCTCAAACCTCTGTCTCCATGATCACATTGCCTTCTCTTCTTCTGTCTGTCGAATCTCCTCTATGTATCTCCTGTAAGGATATTTGTTATTGGATTTAGAATCCATCCAGATAATCCAAGGTGATCTCTTGATCTTGAGATCCTTAATTTAATTACATCTGTAAAGACTCTTTCCAAATAAGGTAACGCTCATAGGTTCTGGGAACTGGGACATGGACATATCTTTTTGGGACACCATTCCATCACTATACTTGCCAGTGACTTCCTTCATTTCTTTTGCAACCTCCCAGTTGGTGTCCCTGTCTCCATTTTGGCCTCTTGTGATTATTTATTATTCTCTGACATCTTCCTGAAACACTGTTCCTGCCACTGACCCTTCTGCGTTCCAGTCTCCCCTTTACCTTGGCTTTCAAAGTCCTTCATGATCTCATCCCAGTTTAGTTCACCAAACTCATCTGCACTAGTCAGATACCTTCCTGCTATCAAAACTGTATACAGTGCTTGCTCTGCTGAACGTTTCTTTCTTAAAATACGCCCTTTCTCTTTCTTGCTTTCCCACGGGTTATTTCTTCTTCCTGAGTACTTTCTTTTCTTCCTTGGCTAACTCACCTTTCAAATATCATTTTAATTACCACTTCCTTAATATTTCTTACTATCTTGTTGTTTAGCTGTCTTTCTTCCCTGGTAGAGAGGCCAGTCAGACACCTTCCAGGTCACTGTTGTGTCCACAGCTCCTAGACACACACCTGAATAGGTGCTTCATCCATAGGTGATGAATACATGACGAGATGTGTCCCTCACTCTTTCAAGAACTTATCAAATGTAAAAGATGGAAATACTGTAAAGCTGATGACAAATTTAGCTGTTTGAAATTCCAAACCAAATGAAAATATATGACACAAGTGAAATAAGGGAAGTCAGTGTGAGATTCAATTCA